GAGGAGCTCGAAGTAGAGCCGCTGCTCCTCCACATCGAGAGGAGTCAGCTGAGGTGGCTTGGGCATTTACATCGCATGCCCCCCGGACGCCTCCCTCGGGAGGTGCTCGGGTGCCGTCCCTCTGGGAAGAGACCCAGGGGAAGACCTAGGACACGCTGGAGCGACTACGTCGCTCGGCTGGCCTGGGAACGCCTTGGGGTCCCCCCAGAAGAGCTAGAGGAAGTGTCGGGGGAGAGGGAAGTCTGGGTGTCCCTGCTCAGACTGTTGCCCCCGCGACCCGGCCCCGGATAAGCGGTTGAAGATGGATGGATGGATGGATGGATATTGTTATACATGTGCGCATAAGCTAAATAACCCCTATACTTCTCCTTTGCCGACTGGAATAACCTTTATGTGAGCCTTACTTAGACCTCTGAGTTGCCAGCACTTAGTTTTTGTTTTACTCGTATGTGTGTTTTCTCTCACTTTTTCCTTGGCTTCTTCAGAAGGTCTTTCTAGTGAATTCCCTATTCACGTATTATCATAAAATCCGGGGTTGACCCTGTAATCCCAAAGGTGATCAGCCTAAGTTTGTACTGTCAACATGTACGCGTGTCCTACATAGCTTTTGCATACTAAAGCATGTGTCACTCCATACGTCGATTCCAACTTCGTTGGAAGACCCAATTCCAGTTTAGCTTTTAATTCACCACACGTCTCTTTTTTATCGCTTATCTCTTTTACACTGCCAGGGGTTTCGGCAAGCCGGCTCTCTCTCTCACACACACACACACACCATTGTGTTATATCTCATTTTCACACATCACTCTGTCCAGTGAGACACCATATACAGTCTACTACTGCAATCTACAGTCAGAGCCTACTGAGAGTTTAGCATTCTGGCCAGTTTTCACAGCTGTTGCCTAATCCAATATTTCAAATTCTATACAGGTACACAACGCAAAGTTTATATTAATTTAGCAGCTGTTCCTGCATGCAGAGTCTAACGAGCCAGTGAGAGCAACGTCCCTACTGCCTTTTGTTCAATTTTTGGCAAGGACCTGTGCTTACCAGATGAGGCAGGATGCCAGCAATGGACAAGCATGTGCATTAATAGGAGGAAAAGTTCCTACCTGTTGCGCACTTTGCACAGCTGGTCCAGTGAGGGAACATAGCCGCCCTGGTCCTGCAGGCCCAAGCAATCACGTCGGCGTCACCAATTATATTGTAGAAAGAGATGTCTACAAATGAGGCAGATCAGGACACACTTCTCCATCTCTGGGGATTTATTGTATCAAAGGTTTCTGACCATGGCAGGTCCAACAACGAATCTCATCTGAACATTCACCAACAAATCCCACCTTCTGATACATGCTGATTCTTCTTATAGACATAGACAAACGTGGTGTTACATAACATTTGGCTAGTAATCGGATAAACATGTTCATTTACCCAGGTCATCTTGACCTGTTCTTGCCTGTGCCTATCTCCAGTCTTCCTGTTATTCCTGGGTCTTCCTGTTATTCCCACGTCAGCCTGGCCTGTTTTTGCCTGTTATTCTGAATTGGCCCTTACATATTGTTTTACCATATTTCTCCAGCACACCATACACTGTGAGCTGTAAGGTCTTATATAGACAGGTGTGTGGCTTTAACCTAAAAAAAATAAACAGTAAAAATACAGTAAAATATAAACTAAAAGACATTGCTGGTAGCTTTGTTTACCTAGAGCAAAGGTGTCAAACTCTTGGCCCTCCAAGCCATTTTCTGTGGCCAGCAGGAGCTTAAAAAGAATTTAGTAAAGTCCATGCAGCAGAGTTTCTTAATCTAAGAAATTAAAAGTTTTTATAATCAATCAAATAATAAGTAATTGCAGAAACATGTATTAGTCTGTTATGGAATAGTTTCAGCTATACCAGCGGTGCCTGACCTTTTTAGTTCCAAGGACTGGTCAGCCAGTACCATCCGCTACTGCAGACCGGTAGCAAGATGCTGAGCATTGAAGGATCATTAAATTTTCAAAAGAAAACATCAACTAGACTATTCTGTTTGTATCAGAGTCTGAATGACACTTTTTAAAAATATTGCCAGGATATCTTTAAATAATGAAAGTAAATGGATATGACAGGATTGTATTTGAATGAAGTAAACTATTAAAAGTTGTGCATTTTTTCAGTGTGTCTCACTGTGGCCTGGTACTAGTCCACAGACCGGGTGTTGGGGACCCCTGATCTATACAGTCTTCCATTTAAAATGGCCCCTCAAGGCCCCTGGTCAAAATGAGTATAACACCTCTGAGCTAGAGCACTGAGCATGTTCTTCTGTTCCTCACTGATCGGATCATGCATCTTAGCATCTCTCAGCATCTCCCCTTGTGAATGAATGAATGTGAATGACTACTTGTCCTTGTGACACAGCACACCACTGCACACAACGAAATGTGACCTCTGCTTTTAACTCATTACCAAAGTGAACAGTGGGCTGCTTTAAGCGCCCAGGGAGCAGTGTGTGCGGACGGTGCCATGCTCAAAGCATCTCAGTGGTAACTTGGCAGCTAGTGGGTTAGAACCTAACTCTTTAACCACTAAGCCACCACTGCCCCACTGTCCGCCACTGCAGTATGTTGCTGTAAAGATTGTGCTCTTGGTGAAAGTTTACCCTAATTTAATGCCCTATGATGCCTCCTAAACACTCTGATCATCTTCTCAGGCTTCTGTTACTAAGCCCAAACGAAGATGCTGACACAGATGACAGTTAACATCCTTTAGCTGTCATATGCCTTTATTTTAATTATTATATTAATATAATAACTGTATAAGTGCATCTTTAACTACAGTTACAAAGAGTCACACATCTGTCTTAGTCCTAAACAATAACTTTGTCTTTTTAACTTCAGGTGGTGGAGTTTGTCTATGCCAAGGGCATGGCGTTCCGCTATCCTGAGCCTTTGGACAAGAATGCCCTTGTCCAAGCCACTGTGTGGAACACCAACTATGACTCCTTCATGCCCGACACCTATGACTGGCCAGCTGTCAGTTTCAGCCCCCACAACGACCAGTAGAACCACCCAGAACAAACTAGTGTCTCTCTGTTTGTCTTTCAACATGTCTCTAATTACAGATCTTTGAATACATTATCATTTAGTTAGTGTGAATGCCTTGTGTATTGACTTTTTGTACTTCTGAGTTGCCGCCTCTGCACTAACAATTTATTTGGAGAAATTATTTGAACAATCAAAGGCAGGTGTTACTAAAATAACACAATTATTTTTTTAACCATAAAGCCTGAGATGTTTTAACATGTTAAATAATGAGAAGTTTGTTCTTTTTGTTTGTTTTTTTTAGTCAAGGGAAATCCTTTTCTTGTCTTTTCTTTTACAGGTAAGGTAAAAATGTCATTCTGTCCTTTTCATGTCTGTACACTCCTAAAGCAGTCTAACTCAGAAGAGTCATTTTTATTTTTGTTGCCTACTAAACATTTAATGACACATGATTTAATTATTAAGGTTTTTCTTTTCAATTGTTAATAAAGTTCAATACCTCAAAAAAGTTTATTTTTTCCTAATCTTAAAATCTACTCATAAAGATTAATAATGTCTTAAGAAAAATAGTGAATGGATAATTATTTTACATAGAATAATGCCAGTCCAGGAAATTCACCTAATTTATTTATAGTAATGAAACAGCCACACTTAATAATAGACTCGAGTTTAGTCTAATAAAGAAGTCTATCGATGTCAAAGAAGTTTTTGCCAATGCATTCAACATAAATACTGTATAAATACAGAAGTTTTACTGCTTGAGATGATTCAGAAGATTATCTTTTATGTTTATATATTACTCTTCATACAATTTCTGGTTTTGAATTCTCTTGCTTTCATAATAAAAAAAAGTATATCTATTGATGTCGCTTGTCTATACGTTATTAATTTTTTTTAAGTCACTAACATTAAAGATTTCTCATAAATGAATAAAATGCACTAATTTGCTTTAAATGCAAAATGACAAATATGCATTTAGGCAAATGGGAAGGTTTTCATTTTTTAGAAACAGTTCATAGGTATGTATTTAATGCTTGTTTTGGGTGGTTTTAGCACAAATTATTCAATTGGCAGCATACTTTGGCGAGACAAATCAAACTGGGAAGGATTTGCAGCAGGTGAGGTTGATTAAGGACAGAGATGGAAATGTAATCACAGGTGAGGAAAGTGTGCTGAGAAGATGGAAGGAATACTTTGAGGAGCTGTTGAATGAGGAAAATGAAAGGGAAAGTAGAAATGAGGAGCCAGAGACTATTAGGAAAAAGGGAGATCAGGTTAGAAAGGATGAAGTATGAAAAGCCCTGAAGAGGATGAAGAGTGGAACATCAGTTGGTCCCGATTATTTGAAAATCACATAGGTCATATTTTGAGGCATTTCTCGGACTTTTTATTTATTAGCTTTTTTTTATAAGACTATAGTCCTGGTTGATTTTGGAGATATTTTGACATTTTCAGGTATAAAGAGTTTTTAGCACAAATTATTTACTTGGCAGCATATTTTGGGGCATTTCTTGGAATTTTTATTTTTTAGCAATTTTTTAGATAGTCTAACTTGTTTTTTTATTAAAATAGCCACCAGGGTACACTAGGGTACACAAGCCTGTGCTACTATAGTGATACTAGTGCCAGTCTCAAGCCCGGATAAATGGTCATTTAGGGCATCCGGTGTAAAACCTTTTGCCAAATGCGTATCACTGAAACGATTTCCATTTTATTGTTGGTCGAAGACAAAGAAGAAGAGGATGGCGATTGATTTGGAGAAAAAAGAGAAAAGAGGAAGAATAGAAGTGTTGGTCTGAAGTTTGGAACTCTGAATGTAGGTACAATTACAGGTAAAAGTAGAGAACTGATATGATGGAGAGAAGAAGAGTAGACATTTTGACTGTGCAGGAGACCAGATGGAAGGGCAGCAAGGCTAGAAACGTTGGAGGAGGCTACAACTGTTTTATCATGGTTCAAATGGGAAGAGAAGAATATGCAATAAATTTGGTGGAGGTGAAACAAGAGTCAGACAGGTTGATGTGTCTGAAGGTAGAAATAGAAGGACTGATGATGAATGTTGTCAGTGGTTATGCCCCACAGGTAGACTGTGAGTTGGAAGAAAAAAAAGTCTTGAATGAAAAAGTTCTGGAAAGAGCTGGATAGGGTGATAGAGAGCATCCCCAGGGGAGAGAGAGTGGTGATTGGAGCAGGCTTTAATAGTCATGTAGGGGAAGGGAACAGAGGAGATGAGAGATTGATGGGTTTGGCGTTAGGGATATAAATTTGGAAGGACAGGCAGTGGTAGATTTTGGCAAGAGAATGGAAATGGCTGTGGTAAACACCTATTTCCAAAAGAAAAAGAAACACAGAGTGGAGGCAGGTCCACACAGATAGATTATATTCTATGTAGAAGATGTAATCTGAGGGAGATTAGAGACTGTAAGGTGGTGGCAGGTGAGAGTGTAGCCAAACAACATCGGATGGTAGTGTGCAAAATGACGATGGAGTTGAAAAAAAGGAAGAGTGAAGATAGAGCAGAAGATTAAGTGGTGGAAATTAAGCAAAAAGAAATGTGAAGACCTCAGGAACGAAGTACGGCCAGTTCTGGGCCATGTTGAGAAATTCCTAGATGATTGCGAGACTACAGATGCAGGGATTAAGGAGACAGGTAGGAAGGTGCTAGGTATGTCCGCTGGACAGAGAAAGGAAGACAATGAGACCTTGTGGTGGAATGATGAGGTCCAGGAGAGTGTGCAGAGAAAGAGATTAGCGAAGAAGAGATGGGACAGTGACAAAACAGAAGAGAACAGACTCGAGTACAAAGAGAGGACAAGGGAGGTGAAGAGGGAAGTGGCCAAGGCCAAACAAAAGGCATATGAGGAGTTGCACGAGAGTTTGGACACAAAGGAAGGAGAAAAGGAATTGTATAGATTGGTGAGACAGAGAAATCAAGAAGGGAAGGATGTGCAGCAGGTGAGGTTGATTAAGGATAGTGTTAGATTTCAGTGGTTTTCACATTTGGTTGGGTCTGCAGCAGGAAGCTGCTAAGACACCAAAAGGCTCTCCCGAGCACACACAGTCACATAGTCCCACACATTCAAAGAGAATTTCTCCAAATTCTCTTCACACCAACTTTCTAAAACACTTTTACTCCCTGAGAACAATGTGAGATCTTCACACCAACTTTCTACTTCCTGGGAACAATGGGAGATCTCCCAATCTACCTTCTCACAGGGAACCCCGAAGCCATCCATTCCTTTTGATCTACATGACCACCTGTGGTTGGACTTCATGGCTCGGTCCACTACCCTTGTGGTAACCCCCCACTCAGCAACAAAAGGTTCTTCCAACACTGCTGAATCATGGAACAGCAGTGCCACATAGTTGCGACTGCAGGCATCACATGATACAAGTACAATAATATGATTGGCCACAAGAGGCCTAGCCTCTCTCTTCCATTGGCCTACAAGATTTAAACACACACCCGGGAAATCGGAAACCACTCCCCCCACACAGGTATATAAGCGTAAACAACTAATGATACTTTAGAAGTTATTCTCGAGAAGTTAGAAGTTATTCTTGACAGGATTTGCGTATTAACTACTGTTGTAGTTAATACTCCCCCCCTACGGAGCCTAGTTTGGAGTTGTCTTTTTTCCCTCCTTCTCCTTCCCTATCGTTTTTCAGTTGTTTTTCATCTTGGCCACTGAGAGTGGACGCTGGCATGTATGTTGCCGCTGCTCTCCGGGCGTATGTGTTTTTTTTGTTCTGTTTTTTGTTTTGTTTTATGTACAGTGTCCTTGGGTGACTTGAAAGGTGCTTTTAAATAAAATGTATTATTATATTATTATTATTATTATTGTACGAGATTTTGTACGGGTTTTGTTTGACGTTTTGCTATTAAAACAAATCGACCATCTACCGGCTGAGAAAAGTGTCAGGAGTGATCTGTGGTAGAAGAGTGTGAGCTAAGGTTAAGGGAAAGGTTTACAGGACGGTGGTGAGAACATGATGTATGGTTTAGTTTAGAGACACTAGCAATAGGCAAAAGATAGGAGACGGAGCTGGAGGTGGCAGTGTCAACGATGCTAAGATTATTTTCAGGAGTGACAAGGATGGACAGGATCAGGAATGAGGTCATTAGGAGAGTTTGGAGAAAAAGCTAGAGAAGCAAGACTGAGATGGTTTTGACATGTGCGGAGGAGGGACAGAGTATACATTGGAAGAAGAATGAAGAATGTTAGAGCTGGAGAGCCAGGTAGGAGACAAAGAGGAGATATATGGATGCAGTGATGGAGGACATGCAGATAGTTGGAGTCAGAGTAGAAGATGCAGAGAACAGGGAGAGATGGAAATCAATGATTCGAAAAAAGCCGAAAGGAAAAGAAGAAGGTTGGTGCCATGTATGTGCCAGGTATCGCATATCAGCGGAAATAATGCCTATTTTGAGCGACAAAAAATATATATAAATATTCAAACGTTACAAGATTACCATAATCTTCAAATTTATAATTGTAACTGAAAAAAATAACTAAAATGAAGAATAATATTAATTAAATACTCAATGTTTATTTTCCACACAGCGAGTCACAACAGAAGAATTAAATTAAATTAAAAAACATGAATGAAAGAGTCACATTCGGCTCTTATCTGGAGCAATGAGTTGCCGACCCTGAAGCTTAATAACTTACTTTAAAAAAAATTGACCTTTTTGGAAATATTTGGTCTCTTTAGGCAAAATGAACTCATATTTGCCATTTTTAATTAAATGTATATATTCATATTTTCTGTGTATATTAGCAATTCCCCGTAAAATTTACGTAAATTACTGAAAAAACAAACTAAAGGACGAACTCGGAGCATCTTACGTCATCAATGTGCGTCTGCGTTTACTGGCAGTATGGCTCCACTGTGAAAGCTGGTGTGATTCGAACTTTAGTCTAAAGGTTTTATACGTTTTACCTCTTACCTGTGATTTTGTTGAGGATGACCATGGATTTAACTTTCCTCGGGACGGGCGCGGCCTACCCGTCTCCTCACCGCGGTGCCTCGGCTCTGGTGCTGCGGGCAGAAGGTGACTGCTGGTTGTTTGACTGCGGAGAAGGAACCCAGACCCAGCTGATGAAAAGTCAGCTCAGAGTCGGTCAGTGTTGGTGCTGCCAGGAACAGCCCGTCATTTCACTTCGTCAAATCCGAATCGCAGACGACGTATTCCTAACAGAGTGGGCGTGTTGTCTTTTGTTGCATCTGTAGTCAATTTGTTCTAGGGAGGTTTAGAAATTATTCTTAACAGACTGATTCAGTCGCGTGATTATTGCTTTGTAGTGATGTGTCGTTCGCGAGTGATTCGTTCAAGATGACTCGTGACTCCTGAGTCATATGAAAGATTCGTGAATCGTGACTCCCGAGTCATATGAAATGTTTGTTCATATTGAACTCACAAATCACACTCTGCGAACTAATCACTCACTGCGAACAAATCACTTTGCGAACTAATCTTTCACTGTAAACTAATCTTTCATTGCAAACGAATCACTCTCTTTGAACTAATCTTCCGCTGTGAACTAATCTTTCGCCGTGAACTAATCTTTCGCTGTGAACGAATCGTTCTCTGTAAACTAATCTTTCGCGGTGAACTAATTTTTCGCCGTAAACTAATCCTTCGCTGTGAACGAATCAATTTCTGTGAACTAATCTTTCGGTGTGAACGATTCTTTTGCTGTGAACGAATCATTCTCTGTGAACTAATCTTTCGCTGTGAACTAATATTTCGCTGTGAACTAATCTTTAGCCATAAACTAATCTTTCGCTGTGAACTAATCACTATGAACGAATCACTCTCTGTGAATTTCAGTGAGTTTCATTTCAGAGCTCGGGTCTCTTTTGCTCTCATTCGTTTTCACATTGTGGTGTGTTTTTATTTCTTAGCTTTTCGCATGGTTTTAATTGCTTATGGCATTTTGTGTACTTTGTAGACTTTGTCAGCGGAAGCAAACCATGTTGCCTTCAGTATTTAATGTCGCAGAACCGCAGCATTCTTTACAACGCTCACGATAGGGCTAAAGCGCCACCTTCTATAAAACGAATGAAATGATTAGTTCAAGATTCGTTCACGACTCGTTCATTTTACATTACTTTTACTTATCAATAAAAAGAGTCGGTCTTCCCATCACTATTGCTTTGACATTCAGATAATTTCAACACATAAATAATAAAACTGACCTTTCTACCTAAGTCAACCAATCATTTGATGAGCCATAGTCGATATGCAAGCACATGAGAATGCTAATGTGGACTTTTTTTGTCCAGGTTGTATTTCAAAGATTTTCATCTCCCACTTACACGGTGACCACCTGTTTGGACTCCCTGGTCTCCTTTGCACCGTGAGTCTCAATACCAACCCTGACCCTCAGCAGGCACTCAACTGTGTAGACATCTACGGGCCCCGTGGTCTTCGACACTTTCTAAGGGTGACGCTTGGTCTTACTGGTTCACAACTGCTTTTTCCTTATGCAGGTGAAACCACAGTTCTGAACACGTGCAAATAAAATGTAAAAAATGTTGAACCACCACAAGAAACAAAAGTTCTCCATGATAAATAAAAAAATATATGTTGACATGTCAATCATTAACCGAACATACTATGACTTTTGTGGGGGGAAAAAATCAAAAAACATAAATTCAAGATCGTGGCAATGTCTCTGTCATTGGTGTGGAACCCCAGGGTTCACCTCCTGGGTAAGATCGAATTCTGGTTAGGGCGGTTGGTACCTTCCAGTGGACTCACCACCCGCAGGAAGGTTTGGTACGGTGCAGTGTGATTTGGGTGGCGACTGCTGCCCCCGTGACCCGGTAACGGATAAGCGGATGAAAATGGCTGGATGGATGGATGGATGGATACATTAAAAAACATTTTCTGCTATGTCACTGACCGTAATGTGTGTTTGTGACTGCAGTGCACGAGCTGGAGCCCACATCAGACCAGAGTCCCGCAGAAGGACAGCTCAGCCTGGAGGTCTGTGCACATAACTCCCCCTACTGTCTAGTCATTAATACTGCTATTACTTAGCCACAAACACAGTGTAACTGAATGAAGCCCAGACTTTGCTTGTTTATGATGGAAGAAATTCCATTTGCTCCAATGATTATAAGTTTTTTTTGCACATTATGCATGTGCTATTTCGTGTTGTCTTTGGTAACGATGTCTGTCTCCATGCAGATGACAACAGACAGTGGTCCGCTGCACCCCCAGGAGCGATCAGGCAGGACAATTACTCTCGATGTCTCCACTGACTCCTACCTTCTCTTTAAAGACAAAGTGTTTGTAGTTAAAGCTTTCAGGCTGTTTCACCGCATCCCCTCCTTTGGGTTTTGCATCCAGGAACATGATCGACCTGGGAGACTGAGAACTGAACGACTTAAAGAACTAGGTAAAGTCAATTTGTGTCTTTTAATAATTATCGTTGCTATTATTTAATGTATTTTTTTGGAAGAAAACAGATATTTTCCAATCCTAAAATAAATGTCCTGGATCACAGTATTGTTTCTATGGGACAGTCAAAGTGAGGTTAGCAAAGCTGTTAGTTACTAACACCAAAATATAAAGAAATGTAAATTTTCGCTCCAATTACTCAGTTATTGCCACTGTGTTTCTATCTAGGTTCATATGTTTGTGTCAATATAGTAGATTCAAATGAATAATTTGAGTCACAAATTATACGCTTTTAATGTTGATAAGGCAGTTGATCAACATATTCTCTGGGCTGTGATGTAAAATCGTTGATAACAAAACAATTGGACCGGATAGGACACCTGAAAAACTGTAGCAATATATTGATATTTGTTATGATATAAAAATGTACTAGAAATATTGTGATGGGTCACAGTATCGATATTTTGGCATACCTTCCTTGTCCTGTAGGTCTTAAACCTGGTCCACTGTATGGGTGTTTGAAAGCTGGAGAGTCTGTGACCTTGGACAGTGGTCTAGTGGTACAGCCCAGTGATGTGCTGGAGGACACTATTCCAGGAAGGAAAGTCTGTATTTTAGGAGACTGCAGCTCAATTCTGGGAACAAAGATTTTTGATGTGTGCCATGGAGCTGATGTTCTGGTTCATGAAGCAACACTGGCAAACCAGCACAAAGACAAAGCAGTGGACCACGGACACAGCACGCCACAGATGGCAGCAGCAGTGGCACGGGTGTGCAGTGCAAAGCGGTTGGTGCTATACCACTTCAGTCAGCGGTACAAACCAAGCTCCCAGCAGAAGGAAGGAGACAAGGACGATGTAACAGAGCTGAAGAGACAGGCTGAAGAAGGTCTGCAGGACTGCGATGTAGAAGTGCTCCTGGCTGAAGACTTTCTCAGTGTGCCTGTCCCTTTAAGAAGATAAAAACTGAGACTTAAAGGAATGGAGGTTGTCTGCTAAATGCACAAGCGAACGTAGGGACTTAGACCATGGACAGTAAATTGATGTTAATGGCAAAACATTTTTTTTGTACATATTTTTGTACACTTGATTGATCAGTAAACAAGTTCTACTAATGTTTGACTCAATCATCTGTGAACAAGGTTTACTTTTTTGCCTTGGTCTTTGAGTGTCAACAATTCCTACTAAGTCCAAATTCAAGTTACTTAACCATCTCCAAATTCTTTATTACATAAATCCCCGCAGCTTTTCTGAACCATCTCAGCCTGTTGTTTTTTTTCTTTGTAAATAAAGCTGAAAGTGCTAGAGAGAACCCTAAATAGTGTGTTCCAAAATGATAAGAAAACACTCACTGTAAATAATTGGTTAATAAGGTTAATATTACAACTTCAAATGCAGAATGTTTTAAGAACTTTCTGCACGTCCTTTGAAAGCAAGGAAGATACAATCATTTCTGAACATTTTCCAGAGCTTTATTTCTGGATCTGTACACAAGGTATTAAAATACAACAGAAAATACAAAATAATGTTTAACAAAAGAAAAAAACCTCAATGACTATGTACAATTCTTATAAACAATAAAGATAGTTTCTTGGACAGTTCTCATAGTGAAGTTTTTGATTGTCTATACTTCTGAATATACATCTTTAGGTTTTGTAGGTGTTTTATTCACAAAGGTGTGTTTTTTGTCAAATAACTCAGGTTTCGGTTTCAAAACTCCTATATCTTTCTTCCTTCGTAAACTTCAAAACACAATACAAAATACATTTGTTTAGCGCCTGCTCGCACACGTGTCAGACCAGATGTATCAATAAAATATCAAATTTTCTTAGAGTTCAAGGGTATTGAAAAAAAATCTACATCTATTTAATGGCCTCAACATTCTGACACTTCTGAATTTTTGTACAAACCACAAGTAAAATAAATATTACTGCACTGCTAAAGCTGGAGCTCAGGGGACCTACTGCATTATTCACATTGCATTAAAAAAGAGAGTTGAGTGTCTTTCACATGTGGCTGCTCGTTTCAACGCAAGACAGCAACACTAAAGAACATCAATACGTCCTGGGAGTGGGTGCGAACAGCCGTTTGCGGATTACACTTGATCTGGCTACAGTTGGCATGCGTGGTTTCAGCATCCTTATGTGAAGTTATTTTATTTATCCAAAGAAAGGGGAGAGAAATCCAAACATGTCAACCAGTAAAATGCAGAACTGAAAACAAAAATGAAAAACCTGTACACATATCTACAAATTATTGCCTTTTTGACAAGGAATCAAACCAAAACCTTTGTTTCAAGACAGATTCACAAGTGTAAGAGGTCAGATAATAGACTTTTTAAAGGCTATTTGCTAAATATTTACATGAAAGGTGAATATCTTCTTAGATGCAGGGCAGGGGACGTAAATCACTTCAAGAGGATTTCAGTGACAGAATTCCTCTCTGTATTTTTGTAATAATGGGCGTGGGATTAACTACATTTAAAAACATGACAACATGAGAAAGCCTTGAAACATAATGATTATTTGTAGCATGATGCATAGTTAAATCAAGAAAACACTAGATAAATCAAGAAAACACTACTGCATCCAATCCATAGACAGTCAACTGCTAAATGTTTACAATTCACAATAAAGGAACGACAGCTCAACTTGCCACCGACCTCCTAGGAATTGCAGTCCAGAGTATGCCAGGGATTCTTTTCTTAGTACAAATCAGGCAGGTGTTCAACACAAAATCGGAGTAGCTTTAAATTACCACATAATACTGCTGGCTGACTCTCCCAAGATCAGAAGTGGTCAGAAAATTATGCTACTTAATTATGACGGAAAAACATTGTGAACATTTACAGTGAAAGCATGAGCTGAAGAGATATGAAAAAGGAGAAAAGCTTCACTGTGACCTGCCCCCCAAAAATAATCATAATTAAAAATATAGATTCTTCTATTCATCATCTGGCTTATTCTGAGAAGCCAGATGATGGCGCTGTTTTTTTCCACCCTTTTAAAAATAAAAAATATTAATTATGGGCAGAACACTTCCTGAAAAGGGCTTAAAAACTGTAACAAGCATTCAAAAGTTTTGGCCCCTTTGAACAGTTTAAAAGTAAACAGATTAGCTTAAACAGAAGAATGTAAAAAAAGGCAGCTTTATTTGATCTACCTTTAATATCCTGGCCTTTAAACTCATCTCTGTGTCATTGTTGTTCTTAAGACAATGTCTAACCAGGTTCCTGATCTTAAAAACACTTTAATTGGTCACTGAAAAGTACCTGTAAACAAATTTGGAAAAAAGTACCACTTCAACAAAAGAGAACAGTAGACCAAATACTAAAATTTGAGGCAGAAAGCAAAGCCGATTTTGGCAGCTATAAGAATGGCAGGACAACACACTGGAGCATTGAAATGTGTGTGTGTGTGTGTGCGTAAAGAGGAGGATTCCTCTCAATTCCTCTACAGCCCCTGGGCCCCACTGTGCATGGATGATCCACAACTGAAGATTGCAATATTACCAAAATAAAATAAATGGCTATATAAACTCTTGAGAGAAATCAAGATTGTAGTTCTTCAGGGTAGACATCACTGATGTCATATTACACACAAAATGAAAACAAAGTATCCATATACATATATACACATATTTACATACGTACACATACATATATACACATATTTACATACGTACACATACATATATGCACATACATACATATACACACATATATACACACACACGTGCATATAAACACACATGTATATGTATATACGTATATATATACACACACACGTGCATATAAACACACATGTATATGTATATACGTATATATATATATACACACACACATACTGTATATATACACACACATATATACACACATATATACACACACATATATATAATAGAATTTAGAAACAATCAAATTCTCCACTGAGGTCAGTCTTATGTACAAGAGAGAAATGGTTTCAAAAGTGAAGAACGAGGGAAAATGATGAGGAAGATCACTCTGATTGAAGTGCTGCAGTGTGCTGTGTGTGGTGCCGTGCGTGTGCTCCCAGAAAGCCCTTAGGCTCTCCGCTGGACAAGCTCCCAAAGTCTGTGAGGGAGACGGCCATTTTTGTACCGGTTATTCGATGGTGTGTCGTCGTCCGCCGTGCTTCAAAGTCCACGTCATTAATAAAGGCATTGGGCAGCGCCATCTTGAGTCTCTTGGACGGTCGCTCGCAGTCTTTGTTGACACACACTCCGCCCAGCTGGCCCAGGTCAGAGTGGTAGAAGCCAGCGTCAAGCATGTTGAGGCTGGCAGGATCCCCGCCATGGGAAGGGAAGCCAAGGGATTCTTCGTGGTTGAGGGGTCCGCGGTGGAGGCTTTCCAGAGGAGGAAAACTGTATGCGTCGAGGCAGCTGACCTCTGCAGGACTGCACACTGTGGCTACAGTGTTACTCAAAGCTGCAGGGACACAACACAGTCAGTTAAAGTTGAGAAAAAAAATGAGAACTGAACTGATGAAATGCAGCCATTGTTCATTAGTTTTACAACACACTTTAACCAGACAAGTTAAAAACTGGGGCTACATTAAATAGCAATGTAGTGATGTTAATGTAGATGTGTTTCGGTAACTCATGGAAAATGTGACCCACATACAACAAAGTTTTGGCCAATCCAAACTGACAGAATATACAAAAAATTAAGTGTTCTTCAGCTCAAAATTCTACTCCTAAACGAGTGCTTATGAAACATATGCTGTGATCTACACCCAGCCACAAGTTCTCTCTTCAGTTTACGACTTTCAAATTAAAGTCTTCTTTTTCTTTCGGCTTTGTCCCTTTTTTTCAGGGGTTGCCACAGCAGATCATTGATTTCCATCTCTCCCTGTTCTCTGTATCTTCTACTCTGACTCCAACTATCTGCATGTCCTCCCTCACTGCATCCATATATCTCTTCTTTGGCCTTCCTCTCTTTCTCCTACCTGGTAGCTCCATCTCTAACATTCTTCTACCAATGACTGTCCCTCCTCTGCACATGTCCAAACCATCTCAATCTGGCTTCTCTAGCCTTTTCTCC